GCCCTGGAAGGACACAGAGAATAAAAAGTCATTCCCTTACAAATTTTTTAGCATCCTTGCTGCTCTCTCCAGCACTAGTTTAGGCAATTCCCAACTATTGTCAAGTCCAACTAAATGCTTACTACTGTCTCCTTGTGGTCACACAGCTAGTGTAAAGTTCACACTGGTAGCTCTTTAAATTTATGTCCAAAATATCTGTAGGAACTTAACATTACTCACCAGTTTTTTTTTTTTTTTTTTTTTTTTTGGTACTGTGGATTGAACTTAAGGGAACTTTACCATGAGCTACATCCCCAACCCTGGAGTCTTACTAAATTGCTGAGGCTGGCCTTGAATGTGCATCTCTTACCTCAGTCTCCCGAGTAGCTGGGATTATAGGTGTGTAGCACCTTGCCCATCAGTAGATTCATCACCAATTCAAATACACTGGTCTAGAGTGTTCCTTTTCAGGCTCCACTTCTTCCTATTATTCAGATCTCCTAAACTTCCTCTTCCTCTGTATTCTCAGCTGATAACTTTCCTTTAATACTCCATTGAGAACAGAAGAAATTAGACTGACTTTCCAACATTTTCCCACCAACAAAGGTACTGATCACAGCACCTACTTCCTTTTTGTTATGGCATGTGGGTATTTCTGTTCTCTTTTAAGGCTCAACAGGAGCTCATCTCTTTTCTACTTGATCTTGGTACTGCAATTACCCTCTCTTCCAAAAAAACCCACCATTAATTTATTCCTCCCTATTAAATTATTGCCATGAGTAATACAAGCATTTCCTTCTAAGCAAAAATACCTACTCTCCCTTCATCCAACATCCCCTTCAGCTGCTGCTCCTTTACTCTGCTGCTTTTAGCAAAATCTCTATCGAACCATTTACAGTCACAGTCTTTGCTTTTTTAACGAGGCATTCAATTATGCCTTCCAAAATTTTCTATTTTGCAAACTCACCAGTCTGTTTTTAAAAAATTTGCTTTTTTTGAAAGATTAAAGAAAACAAATATCAATGCCAATGAAATTTAAAAATTTACTAATTTAAACAATTTTAAGGGAAAATAATTTTGAATATCAAATTAATTGCATGCTCTAAAATTATTTTTATATTTTATAAATATATATACAAATGTTTTATATAGTAATAACTGGGGTGCATACTAATTGAATTTACTTTTTCCCATTTAATTTTTTAGAGGGATACTAGGGATTGAACTCAGGGGTACTCCACCACTGAGTCACATCCCCAGCCCTATTTTGTATTTTATTTAGAGACAGGGTGTCACTGAGCTGCTTAGTGCTTCGCTTTTTGCTGAGGCTGGCTTTGAACTTGAGATCCTTCTGCCTTAGCTTCCCAAGCCCCTGGGATTACAGGTGTGTGCCACCGCACCTGGCTCCCCATTTAATATTGATAATTAACATGATTTCATTTATGCTTGCCTTTTAATATTTCATTTTCAAAACAAATATGAAATTGAATAAAGATAAATGCAATATATATTTTGGTTTAAAAACAGCTGTAGAAAGCTGGGGATATGGCTCAGTGGTACAGCATCTGCCTGGCATGTGTGAAGCCCTGGATTCTAGCCACAGCACGGCAACAATAAAAAAAACAATAACAACAAAAAAATCTGTACAAGTATAGGCTGTCAAAGATCCTTTACATTATTTTTTTTTAAAGAGAGAGAGAGAGACAGAGAATTTTAATATTTATATTTTAGTTCTCGGCGGACACAACATCTTTGTTTGTATGTGGTGTTGAGGATTGAACCCGGGCTGCACGCATGCCAGGCGGGCGCGCTACCGCTTGAGCCACATCCCCAGCCCCACATTTTTTTTTTTTTTTTAATATTTTTCCTGTAGTGAGATTGAATGCAGAACTTAGCTGGTGTTATACGAATGTTTCACCACAGACTGCATCTCCAGTCCTGCTCTTTGCTCTTTACATTTAACTTCAACTCTTTTCAAAGACTTTAAATTGCTTTGAGAGTAAAGAAAAGCTTTGCGTTTGGCAGGCACCCAAATACTTGTTACAATTTACCAATACAAAGTTTCTCTTTAGGTTACATGTTGTCTTGTTTCTTGTTTTGGTCTTGTGAGTAGATGGCAAATGATGAAGTCTATTTATTTGTATTTCCCTACAGCACCCGGTAAGTGCTTGATAAACATTTCTTTAAATTGCGTAAACCAGAAATGGAAACTGGATCATGAGACATGGACAAAGGAATAAAATGTAAAACATGGCAAAGATAAAAGATTCGCAAAAGTTTTTTTTTTTTTTTTTTTTTTTTTTTTTTTTTTTAATTTTTAATATTTATCTTTTTTTAATTCTCGCGGACACAACATCTTTGTTGGTATCCATCTTTTGGACAAAAGTGAGAACTTTCCACTTGCACACTTGCAATGAGTTTTTTCAGATTGCCCCCATCCCCCGCAACTGTGGTATACTTAACATGGTAAAAATCAAATCACTGTAAAATCGAAACCACAAATAGTGAAAATGCTGAGCAAGAATTTCAACTAAAAACGATTTAACAATATAAATATTAATAGAAAGCTTGGGTATCAACATAATCTACAGGAAAAAAAAAAGGGGGTTTAGGAGCGATGGGTGTGAAGTCATACCTCTGTAATCCCAGCCATGTGGGAGGCTGAGGCAGGCAGATCGTAAATTGGAAGCCAGATTGGACAATTTATCAAGACAATCAGAATGAAAATAAAAAGGACTGGGGGTGTAGCTCAGTGGAAAAGCACGTCAGGGTTCAATTCCCAGTATTGGGGGGCAGGGAAGGAGGCTTAGTCAGCATCCAACCATTAGTTCATTAATCACAACGAGAAGCTGAATAATTCTTAAAATGTAAGGTCTTGCTGACAGATGATATATGTGTAAAGCACATTTCCAGAGAGTCACCCAGAGATGTGTGTATACAGCATGTGTACATCAGTTTCTATTATCTTTTTTTTTTTGGGGGGGTACCAGGGATTGAACCTAGGGGCGCTTAACCACTGTGCCAGACTGCCCTTTTTGTATCTTACTTTGAGACAGAGTCTCACTAAGTTGCTTAGGGTCTCTCTGAGTTGTTGAGGCTGGCTTTGGACTTGTGATCCTCCTGCTCAGCCTCCCAAACCGCTGGGATTACAGGTGTGCGCCACCGCGCCTGGCTCTGGGTAGGCTTTGTGTGCATCTATTTAACGGTCTTCTTAAAGATAATTTAATTCTGCTTTTTCCACTTTGGAGTTGAGTGCTCCCTTACTCTTTATTTTCTCTCTCCTCTCTCAAAGCCGGTGAAATTGCTATTCGGGTGAACAGAGGAACCCGGTTCTGGAGTGTATCAAAGTTATCTTTCCACTTTCCCAGTTCTCCCCCGCCCCACTATCATATTAATATGTGGTTTTCATTTGCCCAGGAATGGGACCAAAGTTTCTGCAGCCCGAAGCCATTCACATTGACGTGAACATTAAAAAACAAAAACAAACAGAAACCCTAAAGGAGCCATTCTCCTGACTACTACCCCTGACTACTATCCTCGCCTCTTCCTTGGAGGTAACCTCTCGTCCTCTAGCTTCAACTAAGAGCCATCCAGTCAGAGAGTTCCTACTTCAGAAACGCTGCCCAATCAGGGGGCCCTTACCTGTAGCAGGTGAGGGATTCGTTTCCTTGCTTGACAATCTCCTCAGCCAATCAGAGCAGCTGGAGCAGGGACCCGAGCTTTGCTGCCCCAGAGGGGAGTAATGGGCGGGGTTGCACCTGGCGACGGTGAGTCACTCAACGGAGCGGCGGCTCTCTTCACCAATCAGAATGTGCAGGGGCGGGGCGCCGGCCAATCGGGTGTGGAGGGCAGGGCCGGGCGGGGCTCAACCTGGCGGCTGGAGTTTTCCCCTGAGCTGCGGATCCCAGAGCTGTGCGTTCCCGGGGCTCTCGCTGCTGCCGTAGTGTAGTGTTGGGATTCTAATCGTGATGGGGACAAAGGCGAAAGCCGGGGGAAAACAACTGCTTCTCTTTACAACGGCGATCCTGTGTAAGTTCCCAGAGTTTCGGGAGGAATTGGTGGGTCGGCCAGAGGTTGGGGGTAGGTGTTCCCCACGCCTCTTGCTTGCGGGGAGGGGTGGAGTTCAGAAACCTAATTTGCCTCACCCTCCTAGTTCTCTTCCACCCTTTCTTTCCCCATCCCCCGCCTCCTGAGAGTGGCTAGCTTCCTTCCCTCACCTCGGAGGATTGTGACCCCCCCCCCTTACACTGTGGGAAGGAGCTGCCCTTTCCCCCACACACCAAAAATAACCGGGTAGCCTGGCACCACTCTTCCCAGCCCTCACCTCGTGGCGAGGGCAGCCGGGAAGGGGGGGGGGCGCCCTTCCCACATTCATCTACATCTACCCTGCCATCCCCTTCCACACGCACCTGGAAAGGGCCATCCTCTCTCCAACATCCACGAAAGACCAAGAGAAGCCACGAACGTCTAACCTCCTGATTCGCTTGGCTCCCTAAGGGCCTTCGGAGGAAGCTAATGGGGGTGGGTGGGGTGATAGTCTCCTTTCCTGCATTTTGCAGAAGGGGGTCTCTAGCGCTTCCTAATCCTTGGATTCCATGCTCTGGGAAAAGTGGGTGCAGAGTCTGAACAGGAAATGAAAAACTGAAATCTGAAATTTTGCACAGCACGGTTCAGAATCCCTTTCTGGAATAACTACGGAGGAATCCTTAATAAGTGTTGACTGAGTGACTATTCTCAGGGGTAGGATGTGTCTTTGGTTGGCTGGCTTCTCCGAGAGCCAGAACTTTGCCCGCCCTCTGGCCGGGTATGAGTTTTTGTTTCCTTTGTAAACTCCCTTTCCTGAAGAACAATGAGGCTCACTTGCTGGGGCAGGCCTCTGTCTCTAGGTGTGCTTGTGTGGGGTTGAATGTGTAGTTGGCGGTTTGTACCATAGTGAACCTGTATGTTTATCTGTCTTTTTTTTTTTTTTTTTTTAATGCAGTGCTGGGGATCATCTTGGGGCCTTTGGCATGCTTATGTCTGTGTGTCTGTGCATATACTTGTGGGTGATTATGTCAGTATTTGTTCTGTATGAGTCTGTTTACCTCCAAGATTCATGTTTTAGGAAGTGTAAAAGAAACCAACTAGTAAAATCAGTACTGATGTCATAAAGGTGATTATTTTGCTTAGAATATATTTTCTGCTCCAGATGGATAGACCCATTCCTTTATCTCTTATCACAAAAATATAAACCCTTAGTGTGGAATGGACCAGAGGCAATTTTAATTCTCTCCATTGTGCAAATAAGGAAATGGGTCTAAAAAGACAGGAAATGATTTTTTCAGGTTGATGAGGGGTGGAAAATGGGAATGGAACCAAAGCCTCCTAACTTGCTTCTCTTTATTCCACTCCTGGTTCCAACATTTTAGGCATCCTATGGCCCAAGAACTGTCTGGGATTTTGCTTGAGAATCTACTGTCTTACTTACCTTTTAACATTTCATTGCCACTAAGTTCTTTCTTGTCTTACTTCTCTCTCTCTTTCTCTCTGTGGTCCTGGGGATTGAACCCATGGGCGCTTAACCACTGAGCCACATCCAACTCTTTTTATTTTTTATTTTGAGACAGGGTCTAGCTAAGTTGCTTAGGGCCTTACTGAGTTACTGAGGCTGGCTTTGAACTTGAGATTCTCCTGCCCCAGTCTCTCAAGCCACTGGGGTTACAGATGTGTGGCACTGTTCTTGGCTCACTTCTCTCTTTCATTCTACTCATCCATTTCCATTTTTCTTCAGTTTCCTTCCCCTCTCCTATTTTATATCTGCCCATATCTTAGAAATGTTAGTGATGCCTGTGTGCCAGGGATTAAACCAGAGGCACTCAACCACTGAGCCAAATCCCCAGCCCTAGTTTGAATTTTATTTAGAAATAGGGTCTCACTGAGTTGCTTAGCTTCTTGGTTTTGCTGAGCTGGCTTTGAACTCTCAATCCTCCTGTCTCAGCCTACCCAGCCGCAGGTATTACAGGCGTGTGCTACTTTGCCCGGCTAAGTCTTTGCCAGCTCTTGAACTGTACAGGTACAAATCAAATCCAGAAGCTTCTTCTGGGTCAGTGACTATTGGTAACAGTTTTTGTCAGTGACAGTACAAATACAGTGACTGACAGTAGTTGTTAGGCTTATAAGTTTCCTGGAGCTCCTTCCTTCCTTTTCTCTCCCCCTAATTTCCTATATTATTTAGGATAGTCCACAATCATCACTGAAAGGATTGATAGCACTATTTTGGCAGAGAGTGTCTTCTGGGAATAGGTAACAGTGATTCGAAAGGAGCCTGGGTGATGTTGTATTAGCTTGATAGGCAGTGGGTCCTGGGAAGTAACCCACTGGACAATGGACCTTGCAACTCTTCAATCAAGGTAGATCAGGGCAAGGGAAGTGATTTGGTTAGTGCAAATGAGGATGGAAATGAGAGCCACGTCACCCCATCTGGGTTCTGCCTTGATTTCCTCCTCTCCTTTGTTTATGACCTTAGGCTAGTAGCTCAGTCTTCTCATCTGTAAAAAGGAGTAATATGTGTCCTGTCCTCCTCATGAGGATCACTGGGGATAACAGCTATATTACTTGAACACGAAGGGATTATTATTGAGTGGCTATTATGCCCTTTGGCTTTTGTGAGGAGGAAAGAATGCTGAGGACAGCATGCAAAGGAAGCAGGGAGATTTTAAATGGCAAGAGTCAGAAAACAGGGGCTTTTGGGTTTGGGAATGGTGGTGTGCACCTGTAACCCCAGTGACTTGGGAGGCTTGCAAGTTTGAGACCAGCCTGAGCAACTTAGTGAAGCCCTGTATTAAAATAAAGTAAAAAGGGCTGGGGATACAGCTCTGCAGTAGAATGCCCTTGGGTTCAATCTCCAGCACTGGGGGTGGGGGTGGGGGTGGGAGTAGAGTAGGGGTGTGTAGGTGGGTGGGGGCTGGGCACATCTGCAATCCCAGTGACTCAGGAGGCTAAGGCAGATTGATTGTAAGTTTGAGGTCAGCCTGGGCAACTGAGCTAGATCCTGTCTCACAATTTAAACAAACAAACAAACAAATAAATAAATAATCGACTGAGAATGGCCAGGTGCAGTGGCAAATGCCTGTAATCCCAGCAACTGGAAAGGCTAAGGCAGGAGGATCACAAGTTCCAGACTGGCTTCAGCAACTCAGCAAGACCCTAAGCAGCTTAGCAAGACCCTGTCTCAAAATAAAAAAATAAAAAAGGGCTGAGAATATGGCTTCATAGTATAGCGCCCTGGGTTTAACGGGGGTGGGGGGGTGGGGGTGGGGGGAGTAGGGGCTCTTTCTTGGGCTTCTGGTCTGTGCTCTCCTGGGTGTTTGAAGCATGTATAGGTTACTCCTGTGTTCTCCCCTCCCCCCAGGGCTGTTCCTCACAGTGGGCTCTGCCATCCGGAAGGAATAAGAAAGGGCAAAACAGCAGGGAGAGGGGGCTGGGGTTGTGGTTCAGTTGTGGAGCGCTTGCCTAGCATGTGTGAGGCATTGGGTTCCATCCTCAGCACCACATATAAATAAAATAAAGGTTTTGTGTCAACTAAAAACAAACAAAAACCCCAAACAGCAGGGAGGAGTCAAGTGAAGTCCTAAGATTGGCCTGGGGAACCTGGTGGAATGGAAGGCCTGACCCTGCGGGAGTAGGGATCTGGAGACACACTGGGAGACCTGGGCTTGGGAAGAGTAAAATTGGTTACCCATAGTAATGGTTTCCCACTTCCCTAGAGAATCTGTACTTAGAAAAGGTTAGGCTATCTCCCAGGCAGGAGAGGAGTTTCAGCTTAGCAGGGTGATGATGGCCAGTGGATGTGTCAACTTTTGATGTGATCACCTGGAGGAAAGTAAACCTGGGATGGAATCCTGACCCTCCTCCCCCTTATTCCAGTGTGAGGTTCTCACTGAGGTGTTCCAGGTGGGTGGAACTGCTGGTCTGGGTCTGGGTCAGGGTCAATCTCCAAGTCTTTGCTCTTCCTGCTGATGTTTCTGACTCAAGCTCTTGTAAACACTTGTTTCTTACTATTCAGGGGCAGACTTAACTGTAGATCAGTGAGTCATTCCTACTTTCCCCTCCCTCTACTCTAAGGAAAGAATTGTTTCTTCAAACTAGAAACTAATGAGTAATTTCAGTTGGAAGTAGGAAATGGTATGATTCTAGCATGTTAGTTTTTCTTGGTTCTGGAATGCCTTTACCTTATGATGTTTCTCTTCATATCCTTTGTGATTAGGGCTTGTCTGGGGTCTCCAACCTAGTATGATGTAGAGATACTGTGATTTTAAAAATTATTTAAAGCTGCGGATGTAATGGCACATACCAGTAATCCCAGTGACTTGGGACACTGAGGCAGGATTGCATGTTCAAAGTCAGCCTCAGCAATTTAGCAAGGAACCCAGACTCAAAAAAGGAAGGCAGGGCTGGGGATGTAGCTCAGTGGTAAGGCACCCCTGAATTCAATCCCTGGTAAAATAAAAATAAAATAAATAAACAAAATTATTTAGAATGGATTAGTTGATTGGGTTTTGAGATTCAAAATGGTATCAAAGAGGTGGGGCATCTCATTTCCCACTGTTCTTATTCATCTCATAACCCGCCCCCCTCAAGTTTCTTGTGTATCTTTCCAGTGTCTTTGTTATGCAGATATATGTATGTAAATATATATATTTTTTCTCCCTTTGCTTACACAGGAAAAAGTGTTCTGTATGTACAATTGCATCTTGCTTTTTTTTTTACTTAGTATATCCTGTAGGTTTTTCACACTGCTATTATAGGGATTGTGGTCTTGACTATGAGTATTCACCCCACTCCTTCCCCACAGTCAGCTGGAGTTCAAGGCTCTCTTCTGTGGACTTAGAAATGGCTGATCCCCTCCTAGAGATAGATGGAAGGGCTGCATGCATTCTGTGTGATAGGTTAGGAAATGATGGGTCTTGTTTTTCACATCTGTTGGTTTTGAGGAGAGACCCCTGGGGATCTCCAAACTCAAACCCGCTTCCTTCTGAAAAGAGCCTCCG